ACGAGCAAATTTGATTCCAAAAGGGCGTCGTGCATCCCAAAATGAGTTTTGGACGGCGCTTTCATGACAAATGCGACGTGAACCGCTCAAAATGAAAAGAACTGAAATACCCAGAAGCCTTTGCAACCGGAACGGAGCCAATTCAAACGACGGCCACGCCGAAGGAGGTGGCGGGCGAGCGGGATTGAGAGACGCCCGTCGGTGAAAATGGACACATAGCAACGGCAAGGTTGCGTCACATATCGAGCCTTCGAAAGTGCCTTTTTTCTCCCGCAGCAAAGTGCCCCGCCTTCTTCTTCTGTCTCGTCTGCCGTCGCATTCCAGCGGCAAAGGACACTTAGTCACGGCCACGTCGCTACCGAGTGAGCGCCGCTTTTTCTTGTTTCAATTCTTCACGGGGGCGCTTCTTCCCTGCCACAAAGCGCATCGATTTTTCTATCAACTCCGAAAACAGCCGTCGTGGGGACGCCGCAGAGGTCAGTGGCAATTAGAGCGAGCGTGCGTGCGTGCGCATGTGCGCGCGCATCCTCCTCCTCCCTCCCCACAGCCCCCGTTGAGACCCCCCCGTGGGCCTTTCTGTTCAATTGGCTGCCGGATAAGAAGCTCATCCGGCAGAATCCGGGCAGGCGCGCGCGGACCTCGTCTTGTTTGACGAGCGCATCGCCGACGCCGCTGTCGAGCACGGACGCGCCCGAGAGACGCTTCGCTCGGCCGGTTTCCGACAAACTTTTTCTCCAGGGCGCCGTCGTCGCCGTCTTGTTCCGAGACCCGGTGAAATTTCACCCGTTGCCGAAATAGGCGACAGGTCCGCGCGCCATCGAGAGAGCGTCGGATCGCGCCGCTTCATTCGTGCTCGCCAGACGCACTATTCGGAAGAATCGCGTTTTTTAGTCGACCTGCGAGCATTTGCTTGGGCGCAGCGTTGGCATTTTTTACCACCAAACTGGTATTGATGACATGTTGCTCAGGAGGGCGTATAAGGATGAGCGATGAGCGGATCCGTCAAGGCCGGAAAAGAAAGCGTGGAGGGGGGGGGTTATTTTGGTCCTTCTTGCCGGGAGTAAAAGCTCCGTATCATTTCCATTTCCGGCACACACGCAGCTCGAAGTCAGCCACAGCGGGACATTAGAAAGCTCGGCGAAACCCAAGAGATGACGAGTTGACATTGCCACTTTTTTTTTTTCTCGCAACCTGCCCCGATGGAGTCGTTTCAGCCCCCCCCCCCCCCCCCCCCCCCCCCCCCCGCGGGCTGATATTGAATAAGTGCCGGGGCCAAAAGAGGGGTCAGGCGCAATTCCGGCCGCAGCTCAACGGGCCTCCCCGATGGAGTCGTTTCAGCCCCCCCACCCCCACCCCCCCGATGGCCGCGCGGGCTGATATTGAATAAGTGCCGGGGCCAAAAGAGGGGTCAGGCGCAATTTCGGCCGCAGCTCAACGGGCCTCTTTCTAATGCGAGATGTGAGGTGACTTTGACTTTTTGATTAACGACACTTCTCCAAAGGACGGCGGAGGGAAGAAGGAAAAAAAAAATCTTGGGTCGCACGCCGCCAAAAGGGCTGGCAGTCAAAAAGGAGGCAGACTAAGTGCTGCGCGCCGTGAAAGAATAAGTCAGGGTGTCGTTACTGCGAGAGTGGGGAGAAACCCATCCGTCAAGTGTTTGTTATTAAAATATTTGTATTTGTCGGGGCCCCAAAGTCCCTCAATGCCTCTCCCCACTTAGGCAGACAGTCTTTCCATTCTCGCGCCATCAAGCACGGCGAGAGACGCCGCCGCGCCTCGTTCGCCGGCGCGCTAAAGCGACAGCCCCAGGGGAGCGCCGGCATCCCGCCAGCCCCTGGGGGCAGCAGGCGCGGGAACGGGCGAGACCGAGCGAGCGAGCGAGCATTGCAAGACGACGCAGATACGAGGAAACAATCAGCCGACGACATTCTCCTCACATGGACGCCGCGCCTCCGAGTAAGAGTCAAAGAACGGCGCGCGGGGCGGAAACCGTTTGGGGACGTGGACGTCGACGCCCACGTGGACTCTGCCGCTCAATGTTGAGCGGCGCGCAGGTTTTCCAACAAGTGGCATTTGCTCGCGCTGACCGCTACAAAAAGCTTTGAAATCATCTCTCTCGGTTTCAATTTTCAATCAACGGCGGACGGTGTCCCGAGACTCTTGCGAGAAGCGACGAGAGCGGAGCGAGGTGTGCGCTTCTCTCGGCATAATGAGCTGCCAGTCATTTTTCAGCCGCTTTCATCTGCCCCGATTCCTGGGCGGCCTCCGCCATTCATCACTCCCACCTCTCTCTCTCTCTCTCTCTCTCCGCCGCCGCCTCGTTTATCACGTTCGCCGGAATCCAGTTTCTCCCGCTGTCAATTTAGGAAATGGAGTGACAAGCCGGACCCCGGGGACCCTCCGCACTCATCTGGGCCTCCGACGCGTCACACTCGCTCCGGCAGGCGTCTTATCCGTACACAAACGGCCCCGCGTGAACCTTCCCCGCAAAGAGAGGAACACAAGACTCGGCCTTTGGGGTCAATCGACCCCGGCGGGGAACCTCCATGATTAAAAAAATACATGGGCATCGGGAAAAAAAGGTCAAATACACCGCGACGTCGTGGGAGGGAAGAAACGTGACGAGCAGATCCGGTCATTTGGGGATGAGCCACCAGAATTTATTGCACAAAATTGGGATCATTTGAATGGATCAAGAAAGGGGGAAATCAAAGATGAAAACAAATCTTTTGATGTTGAGACGACGTCGGAAACGAAACACCCGCGGTCGCTCTGCGCTTTCATCGCGGCGCTCCTAAAGTGGTCTCGTGAGATGCCTCGCTCAGCCAAATCAATCGCGAGAGTTTTCTGGGGGGCCAGCGTCAGCCCGCCCGCCTGCCTCCTCATCGGACATGGCGGCGGCGATTTGCATGCCAGACTATTTCCCTTCATCATCTCGGCCTCTCCTCCTCGACGTCACGAGAATGGCGAATAAGTCCGCGGCTGACGGCAGACGGCACGCGCGTCCTTGTCGCGCAAGGTTAGCCGTCCATTTCATCTGCGGCGCCGGGAGCGCCGACCGGGTGCCCGGTCGGTGGTGGCGGGGGATGAATTAAAATAAATGATGCCCGGACATTTATTGC